TAATGCACATATTTATTATGATGTAATATAAATAGAAAAAGTTGCATGTTAGGGATCAAATATGTAATACTTCATCTATGAATTTGTTGCAATTTAGACTTGTAACAAAAATGGTTGAGGACGTTCAGTTAAAAGAAGCTGTAGCAAAGTTAGAAACTCCAGCAATCCTAGCTTTCGGTAATCCTTTGTTGGACACTTATGTAACCCTGAACTCTGATAATTTGTTGAAAAAATATGATCTCAAGATGGATGGAGAAACAGAACTTCCCGATGAACAGATGCAGGAGCTGATGGCAGACTTATCGCTAGAGTTAATAAGTATATCTGTTATTGATTGTTTCATGTTTACAATGTGTATACTTTATACAAGTATAGACATTAATTCAAATTGTAAGAGAATTCAATTGATATATTTGTATATTAGATATACATTGTAAGCATTCGTTATATTAATGTGTTTGCAAATTTTTGTTTAGAAAAAATGCAGTTTACGTTATCAATTGAAATACATACTTTTTGTAAAATAGGTCAGAGCAAAAAGTCAGTGCTGGAGGATCGGCTCAAAATACAGTAAGAATTTTACAATGGCTCTGCGATGAGACGTTTCAACGTAAATACTGCATTTATTGTGGTGGGCTTGGGAATGACTTAATGGGTGCAATGTTAAAGAACTTAGTTAGATCAGCTGGTGTGGATGCCAGGTGTGGATTAATAATATTTAGTATATTGTTTTCTTTTATTTGCATGTTTTATTATACATTTTTCCAGATACGCAGTTCACTCGGATTTACCTACAGGGCTTTGCGTAGCATTAACAAATACATCGTTTCGTAGTCTCGTTGCAAATATTGGTGCTGCTAGTGTATATACCTTAGATGATTTTAAGAAGAGTAAATTATCATTGGATACTATAAAGATAATTTATATCGAAGGGTTCTTTATAACGCACAGTTTCTCAGTAGCAAAAGAACTTGTTAAACGAGCAGAAGAAAAAGATATAATTATAGCCTTCAATCTAAATGGAACATATATATTTAAGGTAATACTTTCAATTTTGATCAATTGATGTAATCTAAACAGTAATATAATTTGTAGGAGCATCATGTAGCAATTTGCGAAATGGTTGGATATGCAAACATTGTGTTTGGCAATGCGAGAGAAATGGAAGCTTTGGCTCAGTCGCTAAATGTTACGTACGATGATGTAACTGACATACCATTCTTGTTAAATAGTTTAAAAAGAATTACAGTCAACGTTTGTGATACGATCGGTCAAAATTGGCTGCGTCACGGAGGAGTATTCATTATGAGCCAAGGTGGTTCAGCTCCAGCGATTGTCGTTTGGGGAAGGAGTCAGTCTGCCCAAGTATGTTAATTTATTTATGTTTGATAATGTTTTAATGAAAAATTTTATATTGTATATTATATAGGTACAACCAATTAAACCGGAAGATCCTATAATAGACACGACAGGTGCCGGCGATTCTTTGGCAGCCGGTTTTCTAGCAGGTGTCTTAGCAGGATGGAAACCGAAACACTGCTTAGAATACGGTTCCAAAGTAGCATCCTTTATGGTAACCAGACTTGGAGTTCTGTTACCAGACAATGTGCCACCAGATTTGTTAGAATAACGTGGATTATTTATTATTTACAAAATGTTTTACCATTAAACAATAGATGTTTGTCCGGTGTGAAATTTAACGAGTAATTTTTATTAGATTCATTAGAAAGAAAATTGTTATGATGATGGAAGTATACAATTTTTTATTTATGCTTATGTGTAAGCATCTCGACTAGTAGCTCAGCTGTATAAGTAGTATCAGCTCGACAATTATCTAATAGTTGTAGAAGAGAATTTTTATCGAAATGTTATATCAGTTGCATCATTTGTGTAATATAAAAACTTCATTATTAATATTGAGTGTACTTAGAAAAGAATCGTAAAATCACATGCAATATTTTAATCAAGTTTTGGACAGAACAAATGTAGTCAANTGTTTAGTAGTATGTTGTATACCAAGAGCATAAAGTGGGATTTTTTTAGACCGAGTGTGAAATTTGAAGTACGAATCGAGGCGAGCTAGCACGAGCCGAAGGCGAGTCGATAATCATAAAAAAACCTTACGATTATTTCTGAGATAATTCATATCGTCAAGGTTGAAACTCATAGTGATGTATTAAATCGCACGTACTATCCATAGCATTTTCAGTCATTTTCGTAAACGCGGGTACTACCGAACAGTATCGTTCACATAAAACCACTTAAAAATCATTCATTGTAGTTTTAATATTGTGGATAAATACATATCTCAATTACTGTAATAACAAGTGTGAGATAATAAGTATTAAATACATAGAAGGTGTCCCACGTAACACTTTTTACGATTTTTCAAGTACTTGCGACAATCTGACA